CCACCTTAGGTGTACGTGGCTGGCGCCTTAGCCGGTTGAGCTATAGGCGCCGAGCCAACAGAATGTTTTGTTAATGGCACCAGTTTAGTGGAAAAGTAATTACTGATGATGAAACGAAGAATTGCTAGGATGAAGTGGATTCCTTCAGTAGGTGAAAAGGGAAAGGAATGAAGAGCATAAGTGGGGGCTATTTCTTGAGAGTGGGATTTGAGTACATGCATGAGGGAGCCTTCTGGATACTGTCTTCTGGTGGTATCTCCCTCTCACATCACCCAGTGAAATGGGAAGCCATGTCATTGACTGACAGTATGGAGGAGGAAAGTGTTGGAAATGTGAGGAAAGGAAAAAGCTGGGAAAGAGTCATATAGGAGGGTGGGCAAGTGAAGAACTAGGGAGATAATGGTTTGATTGCCAGACAACTCAGGGTCTACTTGAGATGGTGGAGATGGATTTAAAGAAAGATCAGTCTGCATATCAGTCTGCATATCTGGGACTTCTCCAGCCATGGTTAACTGTGTGGATGCGAGTACATAATACATAAAAAGTTGGATTTAACAAGGAATTGTGCTGAGCTGAGTGAATGGACAGACGTAAAAGAGAGCACCATAGTTGAGAACATGTGTAAGGAAATGGTTATAGTCATTGCTTATGAAATTTTAGATGGAAGAGAGGGAAATGAGGATTGGTTGAAAGTAATATGATCAGTATTTTGTAAGGCCTGTTGGGGTCAAAGACTTGGTGTTGAGGACAAGAAGGTGGAAGCTAGAAAGGTAGGAGGGGATTGGCAGAGAAGGGCATTTGGAATTGAGCATATGGAGAGGTTGCAGTCATGGTTAGGGATTCAACTCAGAGACCAGGCAAGGGAATAAAGGGTGGAGAGGTGTGGGGTCTTAGTAAGACCTCTCAGAATCCTGGGCTGCTTAGGATGAAGGACAAGACCACTGAAGAAGAGGATAGCAAGTAACTTAGAGGCCAGAAATCACTAAGAACCAGACTGGGAGTGAAGCCTGAGAACAATAATGAGCCAGGAGCTAATAATAAGATCTTCCAAGAAGGGCTCAGGTTGTGGACTGGCCTGGGACTGGAAGCTGACTACAGCATATGTGGACATGGGTGGCAAAGACTGGGATGGGGTTAGGAATTGGTAGGGAGGGTAGTTGGAAGCTGCAGTGAGGAGATCACCTAGCTCACGGTTCACCTCACCTAGCTGGATGTCTTAGTCCATTTGCATTGTTATGAAGGAGTACCTGAGGCTGGGTAGTTTATAGAGAAAGGAGGTTTATTTGGCTCATGGTTCTGTAGCCTACAAGAAGCATAGTGTTAGCATCTGCTTCTGTTGAAGGCTTCAGGAAGCTTCCAGTCATGGCTGAAGGCAGAGATAAACTGGTGTGTAGAAATCACATGGTGAGAAGTAAGAGAGGGAATGAGAAAGGGGAGGGGGCACCAAGCTCTGTTTAATAACCAGTTCTCCAGAGAGAAATTTGGGGGGATCTGCTCCCCATGATATAAATGCCTCCCCTTACGCCACATTAGGGATCATATTTTAGCATGGAGGTGACGGATACCCGAATTTTATCACCGGTAGTGCTTTGAAGGCTTTGCAGCCACCTTAGAGGCCTGCCGGGGAAGCATGTCCTTAGGAGAGCCCTGCAACTCAATTAGTGCCTTTCAGCCTATTTTTCATTGTCATCCTTGCTTTTGCTTTTGGTCCATAGCAAAATCAGGGATTATTCGATATAGGACATTGGAAATTCTGTTTTCCAGTCATCATCTTTCTTACCAGGTAGAGCCAGTTCTGGGACTGAGGAAAACAGAATCCTTTGCTAGTTTTTCCCATGGTCATAAAGAGAAAACAAGAGCAAGCATGCAGTGCTGCTTCCGCTAAGCCTGCAGTTGTTGGGCTATGGTTTCTTTATGCAAAGAGAAGTCAGTAACGTCATGAAGAAATGCTAAATACCTCAGTCTTGAAAAGCTTTTTTTGCTCTATAATCTGCTTGTAAACTTATAATAGTCAAGAGTATGGAAGATAAAAGGAGGGAGAGATTGTCACAAACTTAGAATTTGAAGGTCTGTTTATCAAACTCTTGTCTTCTTGGAGATCAGAAAGCAAATATTGTGTGGTGTGTCTCGACCACTTGCAAGCACTTGTTTATATGCATATGAAATGATCCTTTTGGACACAATTGTGTATTATGTACAAAATGCTTGCTGTTATGAGAGATGGGAACTTTATTGTGCTCCAGTTCCTTACACCAGGAGAACACAAATTGATACAATGTAAGGAAGGTCCTCCTACTGTAGGAGACCAAAATGGCTACGTAGGGGTCAGACTTTGTGGAAGAGGCAAGATTTGAACTGGGCCTTCAAGGAAGGCCCACCCTCCCTCGTTGTCAGGGAGAGGGTTCTAAGTAGCAATATCAAAGGCCATGGATCATTTGGTTCTTTAGGGAACAGGAGAATATATAAGTTTGACTAGAACTGAAGATTTACTTCTAAGTAATCACCTAAAATGACCTCAGCTTTAGCATAGTCTGTTATCTACCTGTTATTGATCAAGGCCACCCTTTACTGTGATTTGCTGGAGACTCTTGTTTCAAAAGGTTTCATTTACCCAAATTGTACAGCCATCAATAACTCATTTCCCCTCTGAATTACTCATTTACTAATTTACGTGAAAGAATCACCATTCTTAGGCTGGCATGATATAATTCCAGGCACAAGCAAGGAAAGTTATGCTTGTATTTTTAGCTTTTGTGTGGGTCATTGCACAGTTTTTATATTGACTCTGAAATATTGAGTATAGTTTCACTAACTACCTATAGACAAGACCTCTAGAGGTATGGGACTCCAGGTGGGAAATCATTTCTCTGGTTACCTTTTGAAAAAGGGAATGGGAGTAACACTGGCATTTTTAGAATAGGAATTAGGAGGGACCAGAGATAAGGGTTGTATTGGTGGCACAGGATGAGAGATGCACTGGGAGGAAAACCCACCAGGCTGTGTGGCTGCCTGTGTGGAAGGCTAAGAAGCTAAGAGAACTTGGGGATGATGGATATGCTACTCTGGACTAAGAATGGTAAAATGGACTTATGGGGAAACCAGGAGCCAAATCTCAGTGATGAGATTAGGCTCAGAGCTAAGGGGGCCAGTGAAGAGCCAGAGAGACACATCTGTGTTGTTGTCATATTCAAGCTCCTCTCTCTCCATGTAGTAGCTACATTCTGTGACATCAGGAAGACCTGTGAACCCAGTATCCAATTATATCTCATGTCTCAGGATCATCTGTGGCTTTTACCCTCTTGCCACATATGCATATGCCTTGGCCTATCTCTGTTCTGCCTTTGGGCATGGTGTCATATGGCTGTGCCACCCCTGCTCCTGCCCCAGTCTTAGGGATCTTCTTACAACCTCTATTAGGTTTTACCCAATGACCTAGCCCTATTGACTATGCCTGTCCTTTGCCTGGCTTGGGTGTGTTTGTCTAAATCCTAGGGAATATTTTTATTCAGAGGAACAATAGAACCTTGTTACTAGCTCCATCACGCAGCCTTTTTAAGCCAGGAATTTGTTGTGATAGCATTTTTTGTCACTGGCATTTTAGAGATAGCCATGTAAAAACAGTGACTTGTTGCTGTGGCTCATGCCTGTAATCCCAGCACTCTGGGAGACCGAGGCAGGTGGATTGCCTAACCTCACAGGTTTGAGACCAGCCCTAGCAACAGTGAGACCCCATCTCTACTAAAAATAGAAAAAACTGAGGCAAGAGGATTGCTTGAGTCCAAGAGTTGGAGGTTACTGTGAGCTATGACACCACGGCACTTGACCCAGCGTGAAAGCTTGAGACTCTGTCTCAAACAAAACAAAACAAACAACAACAAATAAAACAGTGACTTGTGAATGGAGACCAGCAGAAAGATTCATGGCCAGATGTACTATAGACAAAGAGATAAGACACAGTGTATGCTTGTTAACACATACTGTCTTCTTGAACAGTATACATTTATGCAGCTGACCACATACAGTTTTTTTTTTTTGAACTGGGATTTTTTTCTGATCAAATAGAAAGCCCCTCCCCACTATTGCTTATGTGCAGAGACACCTCAGTCCAGTATATATATCAGAGAATGAGCAGGGTCCAACACATGAGAGTTTATGTTTCCTTTGGCTATATTATAATTCCTTGGTTCCTTCTCTCTTTGTATTCAGATCGATCCTATGTTTCAGAAGACTGCAGCTTCATTTGATGAATGTAGCACAGCAGGGGTATTTCTCTCTACCATCCACTGCCATGACTATAGAAGTGAGCTGCTTTTTCCTTCTGATGTCAAGACTCTCCCCACTGGAGAACCTCTTGAGTTGCCAGATTTAGGCTGGGTAGAAATGACAGATTTAAAAGGTAAGTAGAGGCTGGGCTTGGTGGCTCATGACCATGATCCTAGCACTTTGGGAGGCTAAGGCAAGGGAATTGCTTGACCCCAGGAATTTGAGGCTGGCTTCGGCATTAGTGAGACTCTCTCTCTACCAAAAAATAAAAAAAATTAGCCTAGTGCCACTGTACACCTGTAGTCCCAGCTCCTTGGGAGAACGAGGCAGGAGGGGTGCTTGAGCTCAGGAGTTTGAGTTGGTAGTTAGCTATGATGATGATACTGCACCGTAGCCCTGGCAACAGAGCAAGACCCTTTCTCCAAAAAATATCTAAATAAATAAAAAGTAAGTACCCAAATAATGCCTTTCACCAGAGCATTTAGGCATTGGAGAAGTTTCTGTGTAAAACCATGGCATGTAATAAAACCATCTTACTCTTAAATGTTGCTTAAATTACTCAGAAGTTTCCTTTGGAATACCAAATTGGGTATCCTTTTAGGAGTGCCTAGCAATCCACTAACTTTTCTCTTCTCTACAGCATGGAGTTTAAAACAGTAAACCAAATGCCTGTCGTGGTAGCACTCTGGGAGGCTGAGGCAGGTGGATTGTTTGAGCTCATGAGGTTGAGACTAGACTGAGCAAGATCGAGACCCTGTCTCTAAAAATAACTAGGCGTTTTGGCTGGTGCCTGTGGTACCAGCTATTCAGGAGGCTGAGGCAAGAGAATTGCTTGAGCCCAAGAATTTAAAGTGGTTGTGAGCTATGATACCATGATACTCTTACCAAGGGTGACAAAAGTGAGACTCTTGTCTTTAAAAAAAAAAATACCTATAAACCATTGCCTCTTGATCTATATGTGCCATATACTTTAGGTGCCTGCTGTTTGCAGTCAGCTCTCACTGTCAGGGCTCATCCTGGAGTGTCAGAGTTTGGACTTGGGAAGGGGACCTTTATCTAGCCATAGAGGCCTTATTCTTCTTTGTTACCCAATCTAGGGGTTGTAAAAAGAAGAGGGCTTTGTGAATTGTTTTGAGACTCCTCTCTGGCAGTCTATGAACTGACTTGGCCTATTATCAGTCCCCTATACTGGCTTGGCAAAGATTTTAACATCCTTCCCATCCTACCTCTTCACCCTCTATTGGAAGATCATCTCAGGATGTTGTGACAAGGTACAGGCAGGTGAAGGCTGGGTACATGCAGTGCAATAGTTATACTTGTGTGTAATCATTTTTATGTGTTGAATGAAATTGATTCTCCCCCTCTAGGGCTATATAAGTGTGAAGGGACCCATTCTTATCCATTATATTCTTGCCTAAATTTTGCTTAGCACAACTGTTTTGTGCTAACATTTTATTTTCCAAGTTTATACTCTCAGTGGGGGCTCTAGTCCTCCGAAAAGTAAGCTCTAGTTAGTTTATTTTGGGACTAAAAATAAGTACCATTATATGCTTATATACTTAGTGTATTTTTTTTTCACATCAGATCCGTAATGTGCCAACATTATAACAAGATTTAAGGGAGGCACAACTGACAAAAATGCTTGGAAACCAGTCATCAGGCTTATAAACTTCAAAAAGATCTACTTAAAGGGCAAAGGCAGTGGCTCACCCCTGCTATGACACTATGGCCCTCTACCAAGGGTGACAAAGAGTGGGACTCTTGTCTCAAAAAAAAAAGATCTATTTAGTGTACCTTTAAAAGGAAGGGATTTTGATTTCCCAATTATAGCATAGAGCACAGAGTTCATTTCACAAATCAACTGTCGTGTTCAGGTTTCTCTCCCTATTATTTTACTCATTTGTGGATTGACAATGCTTTAGACTAACCCCAGTGTGGATGTTGCCTGTTCCTCTCCCTGGAGAATTTAACACACAGATGTTGGCTGGCAGCCATACTAGAGCCTCTACTGGAGAACAGTGAGGTGACTGTTTGCCTCTCTTCTCTATTGTGCCCATTGATGTTGTTTTATAAGGAATGAGGAACATATTTGACCTATCTCCAATCTCTCTTTGAATTCTTGCTGTCCTCTCCAGGGCCCTTGCAGCAGTGTGCAGAAGATCGCCAGATCTGCCCTTCCCTGGCTGGATTCCAGTTTACTAAGTGGGACAGTGAAACACATAATGAGGTATGGTCAACTTCTGGACTTATAAGGGCTCTGGGCACTTCTCCAGTGGCTTGTGGTTTCAGTTAGATGGCCCAAGATTAGTTCTGCCCAATGGGAACCAAAACAGTGGCATCATTTTTATTTAGCCAGGAGTACAGAAAATATTTCCTTTGGCACTTTTGTAGGGATAAAAACCTGGGGTGGAGAGTGGGAGGGATTGTGACCCCCAGCAGGACTGCTACATAGCTAAATGAGTTCTCTCTTCTGCTTCTCTAGGGTGAGATGGCCCTGCCATTAATGGGTGAACTTTTCTTGTTAGATTTACTCTTGAATGTGATTATCTCAGAAGCCTCTGATTTCTTAGGCTGCTATCAAGCTTGAGGAATTTCCTGCTCTTTGGAGTTGAGTCCCTTGGCACTGAGTTTCCTGAGAATTGTCACGTGTAGAGCTTTCCTCTGTGTATTTTTAGCATAGGCCCCTTTAGCCTGCTTACTACAACTTCAAAAATAAATGGTCTCCATGGAAAACTGTTTTCTTTAAACATGTAGTTAATGGATGAAGATTCCTGTTTCATGTTTTACAAAATGTACCTGACAACAATACAGCTTCATCCTGTGCTGCACAATATAAACTTCCTTAGCACTATCATGAGAACTCTGGCTCCAGCGGGCAGGGGGAGGGGAAGGGTGGTATGGAGGAAGGAGAGTGCTGGAAACTGGTTTTTAAGGGTGAGAAGGCTGCCCCTCCAATGGTGAACTGAGGTGTTATAGGAAACAGAACGAAAGAACCCTCTTTTGTCCCTCTAGTCTGTGTCAGCCCTAGTGGACAAGTTTAAGAAGAATGACCAGGTATTTGACATCAATGCCGAGATTGAGGAGAGTGACTGTGAGGACTTGCCTGAGGGCCCCCTGGAGGATGACTTTGATGCCAATGATGAAGCTGACCACCCTGAAGCTGGGGATCATGAGGAGTTCAGGAGCTGGAAGGAGCCCTGCCAGGTTCAAAGCTCCCAGTAAGGCTCTCAGGGTCACAGAAAATGTTTCCATAGGAGTTTTTTAAATCCATTTTTAACAGTTTTCCTGCTGGGGGTGATATAGTTTCATCTCTGATTGGCTGGGTTGGTGTGCTTTATTGTACACTTCAGCTAAGCCCTTTTGCATCACAGGAATCACACTTGGCATCGGATGTTGGCTTGTCACTTTGGTTATAAAACTGACACTACAGGAGTTTATAAGGATGAAAGAACTGTAAAGTGCTAGACCAAAGTACCTGGGATCTAGCAGCTACTTTAGTGGGGCCTATTGTTACCACATGCATTTTGGTAGCAGAGCATGCTCCCTTTCTACATTCTGTGTGTAGTCTGGCTTTTGGTGATATCACTGCATGTCAATTACATATATAGACAGATAGAGGCTTATGTTTTGCTTATAGAAAAAAGTGACCTGAAGCATAAGCAAAGAGGGGGACTAGGCAGTGTTGGGTTACTAGATAGGCAGACTGGAGAATATCAAAGCAAGGAAAACTAACCTATCTCATTTGTAACCTGAGGACTGCCTGCAGTGAGCTTTGGATGGCAGGCTTTAGTGCAGACCCCCTGAGAGTATCAGGGGTAGAAGAGGCCAGGTGATTGCATCATGTGTCCAGGATTGAAAACCACTGTTCTTTACTGAAAGGTCTTCAAGGGCCTTGAGTTCAAGGTAGAGTGGGAAGAATACTGAATGGTAAATACCAGTATTACGTGGGATACCCCATGTTATTGGTTCCTAAATGGCAGCACTTTGACAACTGTGTGCAATGTAAGAGTGGAGCTCTCTGTGCACATACACTAAGACTCATCTGCCAAAGGGGGCCAAGTGTTTTCTAGCTGACCCTTCTGTGATATATGTGTGCTTTTATAGTGTGCTCACTGTGTTTAAAGACCTAGTCAGAGGTGAGGGCCCAGAGCACAGCCTACTATGTTTACGTGAGAATGAAGCATTCTGCATGCTGGCTGACATGCTAGGAGCCCAGCCAGAGGAGACCTTTAACTTGCTAGACTGAAACAGGGCTGAAATGAAGGAGAAGCTCTGTGATATTGAGGGGGTAGGAACAAAAGAAATAAAGAGTCCCCTGGAGAGGATGGTAGAAGTTTGATGGAGGGGGCAGGCCTTCAGAATGGATCAACTGTGGGTTAGTTTAGCCATTTAGTAGCCAGAAGTGATAGGGTGCCTGCCACACAGCATTGTGTGTTGAAATAATTATTGAACGAATGGCATTCAGGAAACCTACAGACCTTCTGTTCAGACCGTGTAGACAGACTCTTGGGAATGGGAGCCAAGCTCTTCATACCTTTGCCTATAAAGTCCCAGCCTAACTGCCAAAATTATAACAAAAGAATAGCCATGGGAATTGAGTGGGGATGCTGTTGAAACCATCTTATGGAGTTCATAATGTAGTACATTTGTTAGTGACAGAGGCCAGATATCAAGTTCTGTTATAACACTAGGACTTACAGACTAGATATGTGATTTTTTTTTGAGCCAGAACCTCAAGCTGTCGCCCTGGGCAAAGTGCCATGACATCACAGCTCACAGCAACCTCCAACTCCTGGGCTCTAGGGAGTCTCCCGCCTCTGCCTCCCAAGTAGCTGGGACTACAGGCACCTGCCACAACACCTGGCTATTTTTGGTTGCAGTTGTCATTGTTGTTTAGCAGGTCCAGGCTAGACTCCAACCTGTCAGCCTCAGTGTATGTGGCTGGCGCCCTAGCCGCCAGAGCCACAGGTGCCAAGCCAAAATGTGATTTTTTTTTTAAGTATATTTCAATTTTTTAAGTTAAGTTTTTTTGTTTTTTGTTTTTTTTTTGAGACAGAGTGTCACTATGTCATCCTTGGTAGAGTGTTGAGGCATCACAGCTCATAGCAACCTTAAACTCATGAATGTAAGTGATCCTCTTGCCTCAGCCTCCTAAGTAGCTGGGACTACAGGCACCTGCCACAACACCTGGCTATTTTTGGTTGCAGTTGTCATTGTTGTTTAGCAGGTCCAGGCTAGACTCCAACCTGTCAGCCTCAGTGTATGTGGCTGGTGCCCTACTCACTACAGGCACCAAGCCTTAAGCTTTAGTAGCAATAAATATATAAATATCATTTGCTGCTTTTATTTTTTAAAGATTCTGCAGATAAAGGCAAAGTCCTCGTTTTAAAGGTTTTTTTACTTATTCTAAAAGAGAATTTATTTATTTATTTTGAGACAGAGCCTCAAGATGTCACCTTGGTTAGAGAGCTGTGGCGTCACAGCTCACAGCAACATCCAACTCCTGGGCTCAAGTGATTCTCTTGCCTCAGCCTCTTAAGTAGCTAGGACTACAGGCGCCTGCCACAACACCTGGCTATTTTTTGGTTATAGTTGTCATTGTTGTTTGGCAGGCCCAGGCTGGATTCAAACCCGCCAGCGGTGGTGCATGTGGCTGGCACCTTAGCCGCTTGAGCTACAGGTGCCAAGCCAAGAGAATTTATATATGGCTCAATACTAATATAAAGCCACTCTGAAGTCCTTGTTACCTTTTCCTTTAGAGGGCAGAGCAGCAGCTTTCTCACATTGGAGTCTTTTAGGAGAAGTCTTGTGTGTGGAAACACACTGAGGCTGGGATTCAAAGAGTCAAGTCTAATTCCTAGCCCTGGCAGTTTTCTGGCTCTGTAGTCTTACATAAAAACTTAATTTCTCTGTACCTCTGTTGTCTTAGCTATCAAATGGGTAAACTAGGATTTTTGAAGCAATTTGAAACTTCCAAAGCACTTGTGTAAATATGATTATATTATAAAATTAAGAGAAGCAAAAGCCCTTAAGAAAAACTACAAGATTGTTAATTATGAAGTATTTGTGGCTGGGTGTGGTGGCTCATGCCTGTAATCCCAGCACTTGGGAGGCCAAGGCAGGTGGATTGCCTGAGCTGACGAGTTCAAGACCAGCCTGAGCCAGAGTGTGACCTCGTCTCAAAAGAAAAAAAAGAAAGAAATAGCCGAGCATTGTGGCAGGTGCCTGTAGTCCCAGCTACTTGGGAGACTGAGGCAAGAGAATGGCTTAAGCTCAAGAGTTGGAGGTTGCTGTGAGCTGTGACACCATAGCACTCTACTGAGGATGACAAAGTAAGACTATGTCTCAAAAAAAAAAAAAAGTTTCTTTGACATGGTCTTTTTAAAACAACAAAAATGTAAAGGCTCGGCGCCTATGGCTCAAGCAGCTAAGGTACCAGCCACATACATCTAAGCTGATGAGTTCGAATCCAGCCCAGGTCCTCCAAACAACAATGATGGCTGCAACTAAAAAATAGCTGGGTGTTGTGGCGGGTGCCTGTAGTCCTAGCTACTTGGGAGGCAGAGGCAGGAGACTCACTTGAGCCCAGAAGTTGGAGGTTGCTGTGAGCTGTGATGCCATGGCACTCTACCCAGGGCAATAGGGTAGAGTCTCAAAAAAAAAAAAAAAAAAAGTGAAGTATTTATATTGGACTTCCACTTCATAGTGCTGCTCATTTGTGGAGAAGTGGGTAGGTAGAGTCTTCAGTGACATCATATGCTCCTTTTATGTAAATAACATGATTGGAATATATGTAGAGAGTACACATGCAAACATAATTTCATGTGTGTTACAGGGAGGAAATAATTTCTCTTGGAGACAGAGATATTAGGACCATGTGCCCTCTTCTCTCCATGAAACCTGGAGAATATTCCTATTTCAGTCCCCGGACTATGTCGATGTGGGCTGGCCCAGATCACTGGCGCTTTAGGCCTCGACGCAAACGTACGTACTTCTAGATGGAACTTTAAGGAAAGAATAGTGTGGATGATTAGCCAGTCAGCAGTTAGCTAAGGAAGGGATGTGCCAGTTGTGGCTCTGTTGCTGCTCCTGAAAAGCTGAAGAAGCACCTAGTGGCTCATGCCTGTAATCCTAACGCTCTGGGAGGCCAAGGTAGGTGGATCCCTTGAGCTTAGGAGTTCAAGACTAGCCTGAGCAAGAATGAGACCTCATCTCTAAAAAATAGCTGGGTCTTATGGTGGGCATCTGTAGTCCCAGCTACTTGGGAGGCTGAGGCAAGAGAATCGCTTGAACCCAAAGAGTTTGAGGTTGCTGTGAGCTGTAACATCATGGCACTCTACTGGGGGCAAGAAAGTGAAACTCTGTCCCCCCCCCCCCCAAAAAAAAACCATACAGATGAGCTAGCCTCCTGGTTGGACAATTAGTTGGCCTGACCTGGGGTGAAGGGTCAGTTAAAATCAAGACTTCTGGATGGGAAGAGTAAGTACCTAGAATCAGGAGAACTGGCCTTACAGCCTCATACTGTCCCCTAGTATCTGCATGAGTTTGTACAAGGGCCCTAGGTGGGAATGACCAATGGGCTTTAGAGGACACGTAGTAGTTATTGCAGAACCCAGAGGGGCTGTGCCAGCATTTCATATTTTGCATTCTGTCTTTGAAAGGAAGGAATTAGCATGTTTTTGAAAAACATAAAAAATTATAAATTTAGAACAGAAATGAGGTATATGATTTAGTGTTCCTGCTCCTGTTGCGATGCTCAGACACAAATGCTACCTTGTTGATAGGGCTATCTATAGATCTTGTGAGATAAGTAAATAATTTCGACCACAAAGGTGAACAATGTTGACATCTATGTTCCTTTCTGCAGAAGATGCTCCTTCCCAATCAGAGAACAAAAAGAAGACTACAAAGAAAGATTTTGAAATTGATTTTGAAGATGATATTGACTTTGATGTATGTTTTCGGAAAACAAAGGTCTGTGCTGGATTTATTAGTATTGTGCTTTCTTATATTACTCTTTGTACTTCTTTTTTCCTTTCACCTGTTTTTTTTCTTTAAGAGACAGTGCCTAACTCTATCACCCAGACTTGAGTGCAGTGGTGTCATCATAGCTCACTGCAGCCTCAAATGCCTATGCACATATGATCCTCCTGCTCAGCCTCCCGAGTAGCTGGGACTATAAGTGTGTGCATCAGCACACCTGGATAATTTTTCTATATTTTGTAGAGATGTGGTCTCACTGTGTTGCTCAGGCTGATCTCAACTTCTGGGCTCAAGTGATCTTCCGCTTTGGTTTCCCTAAGTGCCAGGATCATAGGCTTGAGCCACTGCACCTGGCCTGACTTTAAAAAAATGTATTATAAATTTAACTCTTAGAGTAAATGGATGGTTTCATTCTTCCTCATACCCTAAAGACACCATTGAAAAATAGTACCAAAACTCAGTGGCAGAAAGAATCAAATTTAGAGTAAGGAGAAATCACTTTTTTACACAGAACTGTGGAACTCTGATCCAAACCCAAACTCCTTTATTTTATTTTATTTTATTTTTTGAGACAGAGTCTCACTATGTCGCCTGTGCTGTGGCATCACAGCTCACAGCAACCTCCAACTCTTGGGCTTAAGTGATTTTCTTGCTTCAGCCTCCAAAGTGGCTGAGACCACAGGCGCCTACCACAGCACCTGGCCACTTTTTGGTTGCAGTTGTCATTGTTGTTTGGCAGGCCCAGGCTGGGTTTGAACCTGCCAGCTTCGGTCTATGTGGCTGGTGCCCTAGCCACTGAGCTATAGGCAACAAGCCAAACCCAAACTCCTTTAAGAAAAAAAAAAATGTTTTGTGCTGGGCGCTGTGGCTCACACTCGTAATCCTAGCACTCTAGGAAACCATGGCTGGTGGATTGCTTGACCTCATGAGTTCGAGACCAGCCTGAGCAAGACCGAGACCCTGTCTCTAAAAATAGCTGGGCATTGCAGCAGGTGCCTGTAGTCCCAGCTACTCAGAAGGCTAAGGCAAGAGAATTGCTTGAACCCAGGAAGTTGAGGTTACTGTGAGCTATGACATCACGGCACTCTACCAAGGGCAACAAAGTGAGATTCTGTCTCAAAAAAAAAAAAGGACAGTGCCTGTGGCTCAAAGGAGTAGGACGCTGGCCCCACCCAAAAACTGCGCCAAAAAAAAACCAGTTTTGACCATTGATGTTAAAGATGCCTAAAACACACACACATACATGTAAAGTATATATAGATTTATGTATGTATATCTAAAAAATGCATATATATATTATATATTTTTTTTCCTTAAATTAATAGGCTGCTACTGTTCTGGCCAAGTCCACTTTGGAGAACCAGAATTGGAAAGCCACCACTCTTCCTACAGATTTCCACTATGTTGTCGATACTCTCGTCCAGCTTCATCTCAAACCAGGCACCAGGGTAAGTCTGTTTTTTGGTTCCTTTAAACAGTTCTTGTTCCCAGTCCTCCTGACAGCATACCAGGTATTGAGTAGCTGGTAGTATGTATGACTGCTAGGTATTGTATGCTATAAGAAAGAAAAACATGTGAGGAGGGATATATGTTAGTTAATATATGTGGCAGACATGTGAATTTGTAAGCTAATATATCTGGCAATACAGAAGATCAGATGGGTAAGGCAGAGGAAGCTAAAGGGAAAAGCTTATAGGATAGATGCGAACTAAAGAGTCAGAAATACCTTACCTGGTTAAAATGCTAGACACCATGTTGGAATGCATTGAGGGTAAGTGTAAAGTCCTTTGATAAAGCTTAAAATTTTTTTAGTTATTTCTTAATTCTCTCACTTTCTCACTGAATTTGTGGATTTACTCATCAGGTAGTTTATATAGTCCACAAATTCCTTGCTCATGATCCAAGTTTAGAAGTGAGCCACAGCAACATGTGGGGGTCACATTTTTAGGAAGTCCTGGTTTGCTACACAATCTTCCAAGGGTCCTTCAAAGGCTGTTATATAGAGTGCTCTAGAGCACCTTATGTTGTGTTTTACTTCATTTGTTTGGGCCTTTTGTGGTGCATGTTGCAAGGTTACCAAATATTGTGTATATCTAAGCACTAGTAGCAAGTGCATGTTGCCAGGGTAACCAGACATTGTTTCATGCTGAGTTCCATTTCTTGTGGATCCTCTGCTTATTTACACTCTTGGTTGTGGTACTCTTGTTGTGTCAAGCATATGAACAATTTATAATTTCCTCTTCTTTATTTTGCCCACTTTTTCCACAAAAAATTAATGATATGTACATATTTCCCTGAATTCACTGATACTTGGCATTCTATTTTTATAAACCAACCTAGATACATTTTTCTTTCTAGTCAATATTATCCACTTAATAGAAATACCCTTACAAACACAAAGAAGCAAAGTTGCAACAGTTGTGGAAACTATAGCTATGGTCAATATTGGTTAGATTCTAGTAGCAGTCGTCATAGTATAGGTAGTCAGAGTACAGGCCCTGAGGTGGAATAGCGGAAGAAGGCCAAATGAAGGCAAGTGGTAGAACACTTCTGTCAACCTTTGCTCAGCCCCAGGATGAGCTGCTGTCTGTGGCCACAAGGCACTCTCTCTTCCTTCCAGCTCTTATGAACCTTTCAGTAATGTGGCCTGCATGGTAATTTGCATATCCACATGCGAAGGTCCTAGAAGAAAGTCATTAGATCATTACTTTCTAGGGCCTGCTTATTTTTGTTTTTTTTTTTCATAATTATTTCTTATCGAGGAAAGAACTAGTGCTTGTTCTTATCCACAAAAATAAATTTTCCTGTGTGTAGTAGGGCAGCCAGGCACCAGGAGCTTGAGAGCCCTTATTCTTCCAGCAGAGCTACATGGGGAACATGACTACAGACATACCTTGTTTTATTGTGCTTCATTTACCGTACTTCACGGATACCGTGGTTTGTTTTTGTTTGTTTGCTTGGTTTTTGTTTTTGTTTTTTGAGACAGTCTCAAAATGTTGCCCTTGGTAGAGTACTGTGGTGTCACAGCTCACAGCAACCTCCAACTCTTGGGCTTAAGTGATTTTCTTGCCTCAAGCCTCCCGCTGAGCTACAGACACCAAGCCACACATGCCGTGTTTTTTTACAAATTGAATGTTTGTGGCAAGTCTTTGTTGAACAAGTCTAACAATGTGCCATTTTTCCAAGTCACTTCATGTTTGTGTCACATTTTGGTAATTCTCACGATATTTCAAACATTTTCAGTGATCCTATATCTGTTATAGTGATCAGTGACATTTGGTATTATATCTGTTATGAAGTGCCACAGCCTGTGCTGATATAAGGGTATGAACTTAATATTTTGTGCTCTGACTGTTCCACCAACAGGCCTTTTCCCTCTTGAGATACAGTGTTAAAATTAGGCCAGTTAATGATCCCACATTGGCCTCTAAGTGGATGTGGGCAGAGTCTATTGAAAACATCGTGGAAAGGATTCACCATTCTAAAGGCTATTAAGAATATTCCTGATTCATCTCAAATGGCTAAGATGCCACCTGCATACACCAGAGCTTGCAGGTTCAAATCTAGCCCGGGCCTGCCAAACGACAATGACAACTACAACCTAAAAATAGCCAGGCATTGTGGTAGGCACCTGTAGTCCCAGCTACCTGGGAGGTGGAGGCGGGAGACTCGCTTGAGCCCAGGAGTTGGAGGTTGCTATGAGCTGTGATGCCACGGCACTCTACCCAGGGGGACAGCTTGAGGCTCTGTCTCAAAAAAAAAAAAAAAATTTCAGTGAAAGAAGTGACCGCAGGCATAGAGGAAATAGCAAGAGGACTAGAATGAGAAGTAAAGCCATCTTCAGGGAGACTGAATTACTACAATGTCATGATCAAACAAGAACAGACAAGGAGTTGCTTTTTCTGAATGTGCAAAGAAAGTATTTTTTTGAGATGGAATCTACTTCTGGTAAAGATGCTGTGACCATTATTAAAATAACAACAAAGGATTTAAAGTATTAAGTAAACTTAGTTGATAAAGCAGTATCAGGGTTTGAGAGGATTGACTTCAAAAGTTCTGTGGGTAGGTTCAGCCCCTGTGGCTCAAGCAGCTAAGGCTCCAGCCCCATACACCTGAGCTTGCATATCTGAATCCAGCCCGGGCCTACCAAACAACAATGACATCTGCAACCAAACAATAGCTGGGTGTTGTGGCGGGCACCCGTAGTCCCAGCTACTTGGGAGGCGGAGTTAGGAGAATTGCTTGAGCCCAAGAGTTGGAGGTTGCTGTGAGCTGTGATGCCATGGTACTCTACCCAGGGCGACAGCTTGAAGCTCTGTCTCAAAAAAAAGAAAGAAAGAAAAGTTCTCTGGGTAAAATGCTATCAAACAATGTTAAAAGCTACCGAGAAATCTTTTGTGAAAGGAAAAGTCAAGGAATGTGGAAACTTTGTTGTCTTATTTCAAGAAATTGTCACAGCCACCCCAATCTTCAGTAACCCCACCCTGTTTAGTCAAGATCCAAGCAAGACCCTCCACTAGCAAAAAGATTATGACTTGCTGAAGGCTAAGATAATTGTTGGTATTTTTTTAGCAATAAAGTGGTTTTAATTTGTACATTGTTTTTTAGATCTGTATTGTGTACTTAATAAACAACAGCATAGTATAAGCCAAAAAATACTTGCAATACACTTTATTGGAATATATGCTTTATTCTGGTGGTCCAGAGCCATACTCTCAGTGTCACTGAGGTATGCCTGTATGAAACACTGGGTATTTGGCTAGGGACTATTGAAAGTGTGCCCAGAGGAGAGTATTCTAAGTGGAGAGGGATTTAGAAGTTGTGTCATGTGAGGAAATAGTAGAAGAAAATGGGGCATTTCTTAACTCAGTAAATATTTGTTGTTCAATGTTAATTTTGAAGCATTATAAACACATGGTGAGTTTTTATAATACAGAATTTTATTAAAATATTTAGTGTATTCTTGGAAATTGTACACCCCTCCAACTATATTTTCCTCTACTTTAAAGACACTCATGTCAGGTAAATCACTGATCTGAGGTCCTACAAATATTTGAAGGGCAGTGTTCAACAGGCATTCCCAAAAGAGGAGGCAGAGTTGTTTTGCTAGGTTCTGGAAGGAGGAAGCAGGAAGATGACCTATGAATGTAATTAGAGAAACAGCTAGATGTTTCACCTATTGCTATGTAGGTAATAGTTGTTAGGGCCCTTTTAACTGTAAAATTGTGTAATTCTAGGAGAATATTTGGCATAGGAACTAAGATTTCTTTTTTCCAACCTGGATCAGTACCTGCTTTTCTTATCTCTAAATTTCTTTCACTATAATTTTTGGTAGTTAAATGCTCATTAAATTTTCTATTTTCTTTTCTTTTTTTTTTTTTTTTTTTTAAGGCAGACTCTGCTGTTGCCTGGGTTAGAGTGCAGTGATACCATCATTTCTCACTACCACCTCAAATCCCTATGCTCAGGTTATCCTCCTGCCTCAGCCTCCTGAGTAGCTGGGACTATAGTTGCCTGCCACACCCAGCTAACTTATTGTATTTATTGTAGAGACAAGGTCTCACTCTTGCTCAGGCTTGTCTTAAACTCCTGACCTCAGGTGATCCTCCTGCCTTGCCTCCTAGAGTGGCTAGGATTACAGCCATGATCCACTGCATCCAGCCCAGTAGCTGCTTTTCTAAAAATTGCTTTCTACATTTATTTTTTTCTTTATTCTAGTTACTTAAGATGGCCCAGAGCCAGAAGGTAGAGACTGAGCATTATGAAGAAATTGAAGACTATGATTACAACAACCCTAATGACACCTCCAACTTTTGCCCTGGACTACAGGTAAAGAGGGAGAAGAGCTCGGTCCTCTCTTTTAAGCTGATGAGTCTTTGTTCCCAGCTTCCCATCTCCCCCTTCTATATGGCAAAAGACTATAGGAAATTCCAAGTCTGCTGGGAGTTTTCTGGATGCACGGTCTGACTTCAGTACAAGGAACTGAACAGAGCTGAAGAAATAGCCCCAACCTTGGCCTGCCTTACCTCAAACTCTGCACATAGGAAGCAAGTAGCCAAAGGGGACACTGGCAGTTATGATTATTAAATTGCTTTTAACTCCTGCTTAAAGGGTCTTAGGTTAATAATAGATACCTCCCCAGTAGAGTCTGTGTCAATCAGGAAGATAACTAGAGGCATCTAGAAATTCATCCTGGCATGACTCAATTAATGAACTATCAGACGGTCTGTTCTTGCTTTGTAAATATGGAGTCATTTCTTTTTTAAATTTTTTTATTTTTATTTATTTATTTGGCCGGGGCTGGGTTTGAACCCGCCACCTCCAGCACCTTACTCTTTGAGCCACAGGTGCTGCCCAATATGGAGTCATTTCAAGGATGTTTTTAAACACCTCTAACAGCTTCATCAAAATTAAACGGCTATTCTTTGACCAGGCTGCTGGCAGTGATTATGAAGAGTCAGATGACTTATTTGTGGGACCAACACAAGAGAACGATGACAATCCTGAGGTCCAAGGATTAGACATCACAACATATGGGGAGTCAAATCTGGTAGCTGAGCCTCAGAAGGTAAGGATGAAACAGCTGAGAATAATTTTGTTTGCCTGAAATCTATTTAATTTGCCTCCTATATGAGAGTCACACCAGTAACAGGCTTATATGTTAATTCAGTGAGGCTAAGTAGCTGTGTGACTCTGAAAAGTCTAAGCCAGATTTAGTTTGTATTAAATTTATGCATTGAACATTCATCTACTTCATACTAGGTGGCAGACTTGGTGCCTTCATTAATATTTGATTCACTTGTCTCTTTTACACTGGAATTCCAGGTGAGCCTTAGTGTATTGTACTTGATCAAAAAGAAGTTAGATTTGACATGAGAGACTCTATTTTAGTGTATTCAAAGAGCTTTAACTATGGTTGAAACTGAATTTCTTTTTTATTCAAACTCTAGCCTTTATTTTTATGGTGAATTGATGGCAAATGTTCTTTTTCTTCTGCTTAGTTTTAATTTATCATATACCTATTTCAGGTGAATAAAATTGAAATTCATTATGCAAAGACTGCCAAAAAGATGGATATGAAGAAGTTGAAGCAGAGCATGTGGAGTTTGCTGACAGCAATCTCTAGAAAGGAAGCAGATGCAGAGGTAAAGGTATCTTGCTGGTTGTTTAGGTGCCCAGGATGTGAGTGGTGGCTGATGTCTACAACTGGAAGATGCTTTGATTTGGGCTATGGCTCTAATGTAGAGAAATTTGTTCAAAAATATAAAGACAACATCATGTCTCTAAGAGCGAAACAAACCAAGTACACAAACAGATTACATAAAATATGATACAAATGGCAAACTAGGGCATAAATGTGATTCAGTCTTTATACTCTTCTTTATACTGCTTTAAAACAACAGCAGTTTTAGCAATTAAGTAGTGTTTGCCAGTATTGAGTTGAAGAAAATATAGAGTACTTATTCACTGCTGGTAGAAATTAAAGCTGATATATGACCCTATGTCCCTTTTGGAAAGAAAATTATAGCAACATCTTAAGTACCGGGAAATGTTTAAATGCTTTCATCTAATAATTCTGATTTGGGGAATGTATTCTTAGTAGGAAAGTAGTGGAAAAATAATTATTATACTGTAAGATTGCCTTTCTCCTTTAGAACAAAGTAAGACCTTGATTAACTAAATCCAACTCAATGAAGTCTCAGCTAGAATCCTTCCCTCATTTTTCTGTCTCCTTTTGCTTAGGGAACGTTCTGAACTTTGCAAACTCAACCTATTCTCTTATACTTCTGCTGGCTGAAAAGTGAAAACTCACGACATTATTGAGGACCTTAATTAAGCTATGTAGTCTTGAATATTAGAGAAAGTTTCAGTCCTATTTGTATGGTTTCATTAACTAAAACAGAGTGGGATACAAGTGAAAGTGTTTAAGTGGAAAACTTCAATTTACCTTTTTTTTTTTTTTTGAGACAGAGTCTCACTTTGTTGCCCTCAGTAGACTGCTGTGGCATCACAGCTCACAGCAACCTCCAGCTCTTGGGCTTAGGTGATTATCTTTCCTCAGCCTCCCGAGTAGCTGGGACTACAGGCACCTGCCACGACGCCCAGCTATTTTTTTGTTGCAGTTTAGCTGGGGCCGGGTTTGAACCCACCACACTCGGTATATGGGGCCAGTGCCCTACCCACTGAGCCACAGGCACGGCTCCTTCAGTTTACTTTTATTTTTTATTTTTTATTTATTTATTTATTATTTTTTTTGAGACAGAGCCTCAAGCTGTCCCCCTGGGCAGAGTGCCGTGGCGTTACAGCTCACAGCAACCTCCAACTCCTGGGCTCAAGTGAGTCTCTTGCCTCCGCCTCCCAAGTAGCTGGGACCACAGGCGCCCGCCACAACGCCCGGCTATTTTTTGGTTGCAGCCGTCATTGTTGTTTGGCGGGTCCGGGCTGGGGATTCGAACCCGCCACCTTAGGTGTACGTGGCTGGCGCCTTAGCTGGTTGAGCTATAGGCGCCGAGCCCAGTTTACTTTTAAATATGAACTTTGTGCTTAACTATATAGTCTAGTTGAAGCTATAAATTGTCATGGGTTTTTTTTTTTTTTGAGACAGAGTCTCACCTTATCACCCTTGGTAGAGTGCTGTGGCGTCACAGCTTATAGCAACCTCCAACGCCTGGGCTTAGGCGATTCTTGTGCCTCAGCCTCCCAAGCAGCAGGGACCACAGGTGCCCACCACAACGCCCAGCTATTTTTTGTTGCAGTTCAGCTAGGGCCGGGTTTGAACCTGCCACCCTCGGTATATGGGGCCAGCGCCTTACTCACTGAGCCACAGGCACTGCCCTTGTCATGGCTTTTTGTTACTGGCTTTTTATTGTTGTTGTTTTCTCCAGGAGGACCTGGAAGCCTCTTTGTTATATCCCTTTTATCAGGATTCTACTGGCCATTGACATGTAAATGTCAGTGTCATAATCCAGGGCTGAGGTGTTGGGTCCTTTATAGATCCTTTTCCTTAAATAAAACAACTAAGAAATTGTTTTCATTTCATTTAGGTATAGACTTTTCTTTTATGGTAGTACAGCTTTGTAAGTTCTTGTTGCACTTTCAAAAGTAAAATAGCTCTAGGCTCAGCGCCTGTAACTCAGGTGGTTATGGCACCGTCCACATACGCTGGGGCTGGTGGGTTCGAACTTGGCCCAGACCTGCTAAACAGCAATAACAACTAAAACAAAAAATAGCCAGGCATTGTAGCGGGTGCCTGTAGTCCTAGCTACTTGGGAGGCTGAGACAAGAGAATCGCTTAAGCCCAAGAGTTAGAGTTTGCTATGAGCTGTGATGCCGCAGCACTCTACTGCGGACCACATAGTGAGACTCTAGTATCAAAATGTACAGATAATAGATGTGATTCTTTTAGGCAAACCACAGTGGAACTGGAAAAGAAGGGGCTCCAATGGAGGTGGCTGACAAGAAGATGCTCAGCGAGCTTGCAAAGGACCTGCAGAAAAGGTACATGCTGGCAGATGTGGGGGCAGGGAGGGTGTTCACCGCCTCTGCTCTGCATCCCAGCTGAGTTCAGTGAGCAATCTGTTTTATGTAATACTTGTTACAGCTTTTCTTTTTCCTATCCACATTGATAATGCACTTTTCTATGCTTGATGGCTGGAGTGCAACATGAGATTTTTTATTTCCAAATAAGAAACTAGAAAAACCTGCTTATAAAATATATCTGAAATATTGTGTTTCATTCATGTAGTCATTGTATATATATTAGTCATACTCGATGAGTGAACTTTGTTCTTAAATTTGCAGTGACCTAGCTAAATTTTTGCCCCTTTGTTTCCAGCCTGCCCACTGTCATGGCTCAGAACCTCTCTATACCTCTGGCTTTTGCCTGTCTTCTGCATTTAGCCAATGAAAAGGTAGGTAATTATGGTAAGCATAACAGTATTTGAGTGTTCCCTATTTGTATCAACTCATTTGAACTTTTTATTATATCTTCCATGGGCTACAGTAGGATATCTTAAATATAGTGACTTATACAATACCTTCAACCCAAAGGATTAACCAGGCACCTAAAAATAACTTTAAAAAAGGTCACCAGGTTTGATTAGCAATGAAAATAGTAAAGAGGACCTAAATAAGAACTATTAGATGATGCAATTGTGACTACTTAGATCCTCAATCTGAGAACATAAAATGTGCTTACTTTTCATTGAGTGTCAAAGACTTTAAGGGCTAAAGTTTGCCACTACCAAAGTCAAGATACATGGGAAACATGAGAGGAAAAAAGAGAAGAGAAATGAGGATGAAAGGAAGAGAGAGTAGTAAAATGAGGGGGCAATGGCCAGGAAAAGTGGAGCTGCCAACAGCAGTGAAGAAAGTCTTGGAAATATAGCTATTTGTCAGAAGAAAGGAGAGTCCATAGGTGCCAGGTGGATCAGTGTGGCAGGCTCCTCCTGTGCCACAGTAGCTCACAGCTGTGCAGCTGTGGGATGGTTAGTGAGAGAGGAGAGGGGGACCCACCTTCTCAGGAGCTTGACTTAGGTAGGACTACATAGGTCACCGCAGTGAGGGCAGCCAGTACAAGTCCATACATTTGGGCACTACTGGACACTTAGTGCCCTTTAGGGTCTCCAGCCAGCTGGCCCACAATGCAGACCTTGGTACTTGCAATGGAAGGAAAGCTTGTGGGTTAGGGCATTATGGCTGCTGCGTGTACCACTGCAGTAGAATGTAAGCCTGCTCTGGGATAAGCACCCAGCCCTGGAAACAGGCGCAGGCCCTGAAGTGTTTGAATGCTGAAGTGTTGTTGGAAAGGTTCATTAGATAGGATTTTTTTTTTTTTTT